GCAGCAGGAGCCACTGCCCCCGTGTCTCACAGCACCTACGGAACTGCCTGGTACTTCCACTCCAGTGCACTCTGTTAGCCACCAGGCCACACTGTACCCTCCTAGCAGCTTTTTTTTTTTTTTTTTTTTTTGAGACAGAGTCTTACTATGTAGTTCAGGCTGGGCTTCACCTCACTATGTAGCCTAGGCTGCCCTTGAACTCACAGCAATCCTCCTGCCTCAGCCTCCTGAGTGCTGGGATTATAGGTAATAGCACCATGCTCAACCTCCTAACTGAGCTTTTCTGATACCAAATGTGTACATTTTTCTTAAAAGATGATTTTTGTTCAGTATTTCTAATTTTTATTGTGCTAAGTAATGATGTTTTAAAAATAGAAAAATCATTATGCAATACCTTTATTTCTTAGAATTTTAGGCAGCAGAAAAATCAGAAATTCAGAACAACTTTGCTTCATGGAAAATCTACCATACTGTTCTTTATTTTCTTTTTAAATTCTTGAGCTGGACATGGTGGCTCACACCTATAATCCCAGCACTCAGTAGGCTGAGGCAGAAGGATCGCTGTGAGTTCAAAGCCTACATACATAGCGAGACCCTGTCTGAAACAAACAAACAAAAGGAAAAAAACAAAAGAAAAGGCCATAGAAATAAAAAAATTGAAGTGACAGGGATGGTACTTAGCTGAGAAAACTATAAAAAAGACAACAAAGTTATTACAACAAAATTAAGAGTCGGGGAGACTCACAAAGTTTCAACTTTTTGGTCTTAGACAATGGTTTATAAGACTGGTTGCCTTATAATAACTCATTTAACTATAAAAAATTTAAAAGTTGTACTTGGGCATGGTGATGCACGCCTGTAATCCTATACTCAGGAGGCTGAGGCAGGAAGGTCATCATGAGCTAGAGGCCAGCCTGTACTACACAGTGAGTTCAGAGCCAGTTTGACCCACACAGCAAGACCTTGTCTCAATAAAACAAAAACAAAAAAATTAAAAAGTTTAAGGAAAGTATATTACTGAGACAAGTAGGAAAATTTGAATATGGTCTGTATGGCCTGTATTAGATAATGTTCATATACATGATTACATGTCTCCTGAGGGTGATAACGGCACTGTGATTACACGAGTGACTCTCCACATTCTCCAGAGACGCACATCGAATTGGACATGGAGAGGGGGTGGGGGGAAGTGTGAGGCATCTGCGCCTTTCAGAGGGTTGGGAAAGGACGACAGGCCACAGAGCAGCAGGTGTGCACGGGAAGTCATGTAAAGCCAGCGCAGCAAACCGCCTGCAACTGCTCCCTACTTCTGACGGGTCTTCAAAAGAAACACTGAGGAATAAAGGGAAGGCGCATCCACACACACACCCCACAGTGACGAATTATTTCAAAGCCACCGGTAGCAGACATGGATACAATCCATTGGCATCATTCAGAAAAAGTAAAGATGGCAGAATCTATGAAGAGGATTCCTGCTGTAGAAAAACTCACAAATCACGAAGCTGGCACAGGGTGCTCACAGCTACATGGATAATAGCATTATACTGCAAACCACTCAATCAACTATCGACACGGGCAGTCCCCCTGGAAACAGGCCACAGCAGCGAAAACGAATACACTGCAAGATAGAGTCTAGAAACTAATGTGAAGGGAACAACACAAGTTGCGAAACAATACCTAGAGAAAGACTTCATCAAGATTTTATACACATATATATGGTATATTTATTATATTAAAAAGACAAAAAATAAGCAAGCTCAACCATGCTTTTAGCATATATATATATATATATATATATATACACACGCACACACACACACACACACATATATATATATAGTTAAACTAAAAGAAAAGTTTAAAGAAAAACAAGGAACCAGGATCCTGGAAGGCTGAGACAAGAAAATCACAAGTTTGAGCCCAGCCTGGGCAATTTAAGTGACTTAGCGCGACCCTGTCCCAAAATTTAAAAGGGCAGGGGCTGTGGCTCAGTGCAAAGGTCCTAGGACAGAAAAAATGTCAAGACAATGAAATCCACCAAATTCCAGGGATGGCTCCCTCTAGGAGTCAGAGGGCTCCAGAAGGACTTGGCAGGCACTGATGATCCCTGTTTACAAGCGGACAGATCACCGGTACACGCGTGGTCATCGCATCAATGGATTCTAAGCTGTGCATATATGTTATATATTCTTTTACAGAAAAAAAAAGCCAAGCAAACCCTAGACCACACTATAAGGAGACTATTTTTAGACGAAGTTTTCTTTGGTTCACAGTTAGGACAGAGTTCATTCTAGCCGCCCCCTTAAGTGGCCAAAGACAGTGACAGACTACAAGACTCCTCAGCCCAGCTGCTAGTAGCTGACAGCACAAATGTTTAGAATCGATTCCTACAAGGAGGGAGGAGTGTGGCAGAACACCGAAACGCCAGGCTCGTTCTGGGTACCTGAGAATACTGCAGTCATATGGGAAATGATACAATTTAACCATGGAGCTGTCATTTGTATCATTGGCCATTCTAAGGCCCTGGTTTGTCTGTTTGAGTTTTTTGCTTTTTTGAGACAAGGTCTCTCTATGTAGTTCAGGCTGGCCCTGAACTCATTATGTAGCCCAGACTGGTCTTGAATTCATAGTGATCCTCCGTCTCAGACTCCCAAGTGCTAGCACTACAGGCATGTGCCACCACACCTGGCCCTAAGACCCTGCTTTAAACATAACGTCTGCAAGTTTCTTTGAGTGCGTTATGACCAAGAGCAGCTGTACCTGTTACATCATTAGAGTATAAACAGTTGTGAATTAGAAGACACCTAATTGAGACTGGCGATCCATGTGATCTGAAACCTAACTTCCAGACTGGGTGTGGTGGCACACACCTGTAATCCTAAAACTTGGGAGGCTGAGGCAGGAGGATTGCTGTGAGTTTGAGGCCAGCCTAGGCTACAAAGTAAGTTCAAGGCCAGCTCCAGTAGGACTCCAACTTGTGATCCTCTTTCTCAGTCTCCTAGAGTGCTGGGATTCGAGGCATGCACCACCATGCTTGGTTTGAGAGAGAGAACATTTGAAGTTTACTTTGACCTTGAGGAGGCAGTAGGTATAGCAGACAAAGAGGGAGAAATGCTGGTGAACCGTGAGCTAATTAGAAATCGCCACACTTCTCCCAGGAGACTTGCCGTAGATGTGAGCCTTCCAACCACTGTGCTGCACCAGGTTGACCTGTCCAAGCAGTCAGCAGGCCAGTCCTGGGTGGCCCAGTCAGCGCTGGTGGGTGACAAGTCTGCTTTGGTGACTGGCAGCCTTCAGTCACGTCGCACCTGGCCCTCGGACTTGAGCCCAATTTAGTCTCATTTCCCGTGTTCCTTTCTAGGGCTGTGTAGGGTTTTCTTGGCATTTTATTTCCTTTCCCACATAAAATATGGTGTGGACTTTTTAAGGAATTTTTTTAAATCAGGAAGGAAATCTTCCAAAGAAAATGTCAGAGAAAAGAAAATAAAAACTGGGAACTAGAACTGGAAATGTTTATTCTTTAAAAATGGAATATTTGATACTGACAGAAATTCCCATTTAAAAGCCAGTTGAAACAGACTCAAAAGGCATCAATTCTTTTAGAAATAATCAGTCTAAAAATTAGTCTTAAGATTTCACTGGTAGAGCCAGGCATGAGGGCAAACACCTATAATCCCAGTACTCAGGAAGCTGTGGCAAGAGGATCACCGTGAATTGGAGGCCAGCCTGGGCTACAACGGTGAGTTCATGGCCACCCTGAACTCACAGGGAGACTCTGTCTCCAAAAAGAAAAAAAAAGATTTCACAGGTAGATTATTTATGTACACAATGGGGAAAACATTTTATTCTATAATGTTACTTTCAAATTCTAGTTCAAAATTCTGTATTTTAATTTTGAGATAGTTCTCTTGGTCTCTTTCTCTATATATATACATACATTTTGTTTGTTTGTTTTTATTTTTGTCTTTTTGAGACAGGGTTTCACTATGCAGTTCAGGCTGGCCTTGAACTCACTTTGTAGCCCAGGCTAGCCTCGAGCTCCCAGCAATCCTCCTGCCTCAGCCTCCTGAGTGTTAGGATTACAGGTGTGCACCACCATGCCTGGCCTTGTTTGTATGTTTTGCTTCAATTTTTTCTTGTTGTTTTTATGAGAAAGGGTCTTGCTATGCAGTTCAGGCTGGCCTTGAACATACTATATAGCCCAGGCTGACCTTGAACTTGCAGTGATCCTCCTGCCTCATTCTCCCAAGTGCTGGGATCACAGGCATGTGCCACCACATCTGGTTCTATTTTATAATTTTTAAATGAGTTATGTTCCCATGAAATAACTGGAGTCCAACTGAGCTTCCTCCAGCCTCTGCTTCAGAAGGTACGCTAGTAGAAGACCCTAGCTGCTTTAGCGGGCTGTCTCTGAATGCTTAAGGGGGCACAACGCCTACTCCATATTCCTTCTTACTTAGCAGGAGCCGTGTGGCTGCTACAAGAGACGCCAGGTGACATGTCCTTACATCTACACCTGCTCCCTCTGCTGCACCCCACCAGCTGGCAAGGGGGGTATGGCCTATGGCTAGGGCCTGGTCCCCAGTGCCCCACAGATCTGCCCCTGCCAGGCACGGACGGGTACAACACTGCCCAGGAAAAGAAAGCTCACAAGTGAAAAAAGCAATGGGTCTAGGCTATGTCTTCTGTCCTGGGAGCACAGCATGTTCCCTTCGGATACTATGCTACCTCTGAGGCACCTGTACACAGAACAGAGTGGAAACGATGGTTAGGTACAGTGGGACATGTTTTAGGGTTACCACACATTTGGCCCTGCTGAGAACCATCCAGTGCTGAGGGGCGAGTGTTGTTCCAGGAGGAGATACTGGGGGATCTGAGCTGCAGACACAGCTAAAACAGAGCAAGCAAGTCAGGCAGCAAGGCCATCAAGGGCTTCCCAGGAGCCTAGAGAAGCCACATAGCCAAGCGGAAAGGAGCATAATGAAAATGATGCTTCTTACCTTCTGAAAGTTCTCCTTCCACAAATCTTCTACGGCTATGTATCCTCGTAAACCCCAGTCATATAACTTCTCCCCGCTGACCTTGAAACAAAAGAGAAAATATCTGTTGCTGTTCCATACGTAAACAGTAAGGAAGAGAATTTGCCAGGTTTTTTTTTTCCTGTTTGCACAAGAACTACATTTAAGGACATCACTACTATAGGAAGTTTTGGGATATGTACACTAAAATTGTGAAACATGATGGCATAGCCTGTAATCCCTCAGGAGGGAGGCTGAGGCAGGAGGATCGCTGCGACTTCGAGGTCAGCCTGGGTTACTCAGTGAGTTCAAGACCAGCCTGGATTACACAGTGAGACCCTGTCTCAACACAAACAAAAATGTACTATAAATTATAGGCATACATCCTTGGTTTTACTTTGGTTTTGCTGCTAGGGATTGAACTCAGGGCCTTCTGACACGTGGGGCAAATCTGCCACTGAGCCCACCCCACCCCAACAGGCATACACCCCAAACTTCGAAAACTTAAGAAAAAATGTAGAAGATCATTGCTGATACGGGAAATTCCTGAAAATCAGCCACAGAAAGCAGACATCGACCTATCCCATCTAGCACCTGGTCTGGAACACTGTAGCCAAGCAACTCATATCTGCTGAGTCGCAACGTCTCTCACTCACTCCAGGGGTTGGATGGAAAAGAGGTGAATCCAAGGAAGATGCTCCTCATTTTCCTGGGCCGCCTAAATGTAGTCTCCAAATTCTTACAGGTTTTCAAGATATCCCGATCTAGAATCACTCCTCCAACATGCCCAGGGTCAGCACCGGACTCAGGGGGCTCAGGACCTTCACATCCACCTTTGGCCAGCACTGAAATTGCTGGAACTTTTTTTAACTGTTGCACTTTCCACAAAAAGTGCTTCTAGAAATCTGTATCCATTGGTCCTGCTAATGACCAAGAATGCTGATTGCTCTTCTCCACAGTAATACTTTCAACTTCTAAAAGCAGTCATTTTCTTCTTCATTTTTATAACAATTCATCTTTGCGCAATGGTGTTTGGCAGACAAGGCACTCTCTCATGAACCATCTCTATCTTGTATAACAGTAAGGAGATAAAGACTTTGAGGAAGCCAGGTGTGGTGGTACATGCCTATAAATCTAAGGCAACAGGACCGCAAGTTTGAGTCCCACCTGCTAAGTCCCAACTTAGCAAGACCCAGCCTCAAAATGAAAAACTGAACAGAGGTTAGGAATGTAGCTTAGTATGAAGGCCCTGGACTCAATTCCTAGTACTACAGAGGGCAAAAAAATGATTAAACTCCTTCTTACTGACTTTAAAAATAAATAAGAATGCAATTCAGAATACAAAAGATGTTTAAGATGTTTTGCTATATATGCTGTGGGATTTAAGACAAAGAAAAACCCTCACTCTGGTGGAACCCACACCTGCTTCTCAATCCGCAGCAAAATACCCCCACCTAACCTAGCCCTGTACTATTTAAACCATAATAGACCAAGATGTATTATTAACATTATTATTAATCTAGGACTCAGTAACCTTACTTGCTATTCCTGAGCTAGGGCAGAGCAAGGGCAAGAACATTAACTCTCTGTCTCCAGGCCGTTAGAAACAATATGGAGGTCCAGTGTTGTGGTACACGCCTATAAGCCCAGGGTTCAGGAGGCTGAGGCAGGAGGATCTCTGTGAGGTTGAGGCCAGCCTGGGCTACATAGGGAGTTCAAGAGCAGTCTGGACTACATAGTGAGACCCTGTCTCAAAAAAAAAAAAAAAAGGAAACAATATGGAGCCTTACCATCAGGCCCAGCCTCCAGCCTTATTTTTGCCAGACTTGATCTCTTCTCTTCTCTTTTCTCTTTCTTTTTTTTGGGTCGGGGGGCATATATACTTGCCTTGAACCCAGAGCCTTTGGATTGAACTACAATCCCAGCCCTCTTAAAGTTTTCATTTTCATTACTTACTTATTTTTTTGAGACAGGGTCTCACTACGTAGTTCAGACTAGTCTTGAACTCACTATGTAGTCCAGGCTAGTTTTGAACTCATAGCAATTCTCATGTCTCAGCCTCCCAAGAGCTGGGATTAATTAAAAGTGTGTACCTCCATACCCGTCCTTTTTTTATTGTTTGAGACAAGGTCTGAGACTGGGCAGAGTGGCATACATATGGAATCCCAGCATTCAGGATGCTGAGGCAGGAGGATCAATGTGAGTTTGAGGCCAGCCTGGGCTACATTGTGAGTTCAAGGCTACATAGTGAAACCTTGTCTCAAGAAGAGAAAAAAAGAGGCAGGGTCTAGCTACATTGCTAAACTGCCCAGGTGGGACTCGAATCTGCAATTCTCCATGGCCCCAGCCTCTCTGAGTGCTAGGATGACAAGCACAGACCAACACACCTGGCCCAGGGCCTCTTATACTCAGAGTCCCACTAACTCCTGACTCCACCCCCTAAGTTACCTGCTGGTCTACACAGTGGTCCTCAAACATCACAGGATTCAAAGTACCCAGAGGCCTTACTATAAGCCAGATGGCTGGCCCTGACCATCACAATCTGACTCTGTTGGCCTGGGGTGGGTTCCCAGGAGATTCTGTTCCTGCTGGCCCAGAGACCATGCCAGAAGAACCACTGGATCAGGTTTACCCAGGTTGCCTGTCACTGTCATCTCGCCACTCACCAGGATAACATCAAGCTAATAATTCTGAGGAGCAAGCAGCCAAAAGGGAGCCCCGGGAAGGCACACCTCCAAGTCCCCAGGAAGGAAACCAAGGCTGGCACTGATACCAGGGAGAATGCAAGGAAGCCAGAGGACAACAGCAACAAGGACAGGTTGTAACCAAACAAGCCTAAACGGAAAGTGACCCGGAATTAGCAGCTTTAGAATTATCAGTCTTGGGAGTTAGCTGAGAACTTGTGGGAAGATGGCAGAGTGGTGAACACCAGAGAAACAGCCTCCCTGAGATTTGGTGTTAGATGCTGGAATATAGCAACATGAGGAGGAGAAGGAGGGAAGTGGGTCCCCAGGATCAGCAGGGATCTCAAGTGAGAACTGAAGCCCAGGGGGAGACTGATGAGAGAGACCTCAGCACAGAAGAAAGAGGTGGCAAACGGTGCTTCCTCCCTGAGCCCCGACTCACTGTGTGAGGGGGCAGCTCAAACCGCCAGATGCATAGTGAATACTGGTGACCCCAGAGGCCTCCACAGAGAAACACACCAGTGGAAGGGAGCAGTGGACACAGCAGACTGCAGTGACTGGTGAGTTGTTTGTTCAGACACGCCCCCAGGAGAGGGCAACTGGCCAGTACTCATCTTGGAGAGGGGCCAACTGAGCTCAGAACTCAGAGCAGCTGCAAGCTGCCTCCATTTAGCATCTGCTAGTGTCAGGGTGAGGTGGAACCAAGTTCAAGTCAGGAGGAGGTCAAGGAGCCAAGTTCAAACCAGCAGGAGGCACATGGAGTGATACTAACTAAACAAATTGGGTTCCAGCCTCACAGCCCAAAACCAGTCTGAACTTCAGTGGAACTAAAGGTGCAGCCTCGCTGGGATTAACCATTACACTGCCATAAATCTACAGCTGGCTTGCTGGGATTAATCCACAGGGATCTGGGCTCTGTCTGCCCCCTCTGGCTACCAGGGACAATGGAGATATACCTTGAAGTGTACTTTCCTCTTCTTTTCTTGTTTTTTGTTTTGTTGTGTTTCTTGATTGTCCTTGCTTTTCTATGAGTGTGAACTGTTTCTAGTTTTGTTGTTGTTGTTCTATTCTTATTCTCATTTCTGTCTTCTCTGTTTGCCTCCTGTCTTTTTCACCAGTTTCCTAAAGTTGGAGTAATCTTCCTTTGTCCTCCAGCCAGATTCTAATCACTTTCTCTTCTTCTATTTCTCTATATTTTCCCCCAACCCCATTTAAATTTTCTACCCAAAGGGTAAAATTGCCATATTAAGAACATAATTACTAGGGGGCTGGGGATTTAGCTCAGC